GGTCCTATTGATTATGAGTAATATGCTTAATCTGTCAGTATTTTTAGATATTGGGTCGGTAAGTTTCATTTTAGAGTTGTAAAAACTTCTTGATCTTTTAATCCAGTCACATCTCACGTTAATTGTAAAATGAACCTATATATATGAAAAATATACCTATTATAAATAAAAGTTAATTTTCTTCAAAATTTTACATTTATTTAATTTATTTATAGGGTAATGAATATTAACTATTTTTTTATTAATAGTATAATTTAAAAGTGATAATTTACTGTGGGAACAGTAGAATAGAATAAGGAAAAGATGAATTTCAATTAGCTAATTCGATTCAAAAATTATAATTTTTCCATCTAAGCTTTCCATACAAACTTGTCATAACTCATAGTTGTGGGTATTGGACGACACGTTTGGCTCAGTTTGTAGTAACCCTACTTCATACTTGCTGTGCCAGCGGTCGCGGGTTCGAGTTCCGCTGGTAGTATTCATTTGTGTGATGAGCACGAATGTTTGTACTCCAGTCATGGGTGTTTATATTTATAATATGTATGTATTTTATATATATATATATATATATATATATATATAAATAGTGAAAGACATACATACGTGAGTAAAGCTACTAGCAGTTACTACTTAAGGTATATCCCTTCTTAACAACTTAGGTTTAAAAAAAAGGGAAAATACAAAAGGCATTAATAAAAGCGATCGAAATGATTAAATTACTAACAACCTAAGCCCCCACTTTGAGTTCAAGTAATAAATAGACACACAAAGCCGGCTTATGACACGAAAATTTCCGTCGACCAACGACGAGCTCACTTATATACGATCCAACAGAGATTAGGTCTCATATCTACATACAAAAAACTACAATAATATGATATTACTAATATTATAAATGTGAAAGTTTAGATGTTTGAATGGATGTTTGTTACTCAATCACGCCGGAACAGGTGAAAGGATCTGGATGAAATTTGGCACAGACATAGATTATAGTTTGGAATAGCACAAAAGCTATTTTTTATCTCGGAAAAATGGACGGTTCCCGTGGGATAGGTTTGTTTTTGTTTTTCGCTAGTTAAATATAAGAAGTTTAAAGTAATATATTTTAACTTCATAGCTGCTAAACCTTTCATTAAATATCATTTCACACTGCATAATATAATTGTCACTGTTCGAATTCGTTTTACAGCGAATGAGTAAGAAAGGTATCTATGTTATAACTGTAGTAATAAAATAAAAGATGCTAAAGTTGCTATATTGCATTCATAAAATACCATAACAGAGGAATTATATCATAGAGTAATTATACCATCTATACTGTATAATCTTCATGGGAAAAAATTGGTCAAGTGCGAGTCGGTCTTTTAAAAGATTTGCTGGTTTGAAAGTAGGGCGAACTTGTTTCTATCTGGATTATTTGGGTATAAAACCATAACTAATGTAAGTAACAAATAAAAAATCTATACAATAAACAAGTTGTGTGCTGTTACACACAAGACATTGCTATAAATCCTATGCCTTAGTTAAGTTTGCAAATAGTTGACGGGTGCACCTAAACCGTATAAGTTAGCTAGTAATTGAAAACTGTCTAACTTATGCTTGGTACTTGAGAACACTGGGAGCCGCTTTGTTCGAGGCATATATTGGTTTTGACTGCATATGCTCCCTATCGGTAACACTATTAATTAGTTTAACTGTACCTTTATATTGACCATATCAGTTTGTTTGTTTGTCAGGTTTTTGTGAAACAATTATAAAAATAAACATTCAAAGTACATATTTATAGTAGTTTATAATATTCCTTCTTTCCATATTATATAAATTCAGTACCTGGACGAACGAGGTTCGGAGAAGATATAAAAATTGTTTTTTTTTTTAGAAAAGACCTAGACCTACATAGATAAACTTAAAAAGCAAAAGCTTATCTAAATACAAAATTTGACCTAAATCGATAGAGCTGTTTCTGAGATACACTGTATGCAATACAAGTATTACGTATTAATTATTATAAGATCATCAATGATCCTAATTCGGATAATAAAAATAATAAGTAAGATTTAAATACTAAAATTGTAAATACTAAATCTTTACTGTTTGTTTACTTTACGTTTATCAAACAAAATTTCAGTCAAATTATTTTATAAAAGAAATATATTAAAACGGACATGTTAGAAAGACTAACATAATGACAGGTGAATTTGAAAAACATACTGTGTGTTGATAAAAGAAACCTCTTTCCAATGATTTTTTTAAAAAACGTCGATTTTCTGGTTTTTTTTCCAGAATGACGTTGAATGTTATCTGTCATATTAAACTTGTCGATGTCGAGGTACAGTAAATTTAATTCGTTTTGTTTTATATATATTTTTTAATTATAGAAAAGAATTTTTTGCTTGGGGTTAAACTTCTCTTGTTAAGCTAACATAGGTTAAGTATTTTGTATTACTAACTCTTAGAATAGATAAATTGTATGTGTTTTCGTTGTAACTTCTTTTTTCTGTGTAATTATGGGTTTTTGCCTGAATTAAAGATTTATTATTAATATTATTATTATTAAAATATAGAGTTCACCTGTGAAATTTTGTTTCTCATCAATTAAATGGAATTTGAATAACTACTGTATAATACGATAACTTATAGTTACTTAAATTAACTTTTAGAGTTTAAGGCAGTGGTAATTATAGTTAATTGCTCTACTCATCTCTCCCAATATCAATATGATAGACAATAAGTGTATAAATATAAGATAATATAATATAATAAACATATAAGATCTAGTACTAGTTCTAGTATCATCTAGATCTAGTTAAAGGCAGTGGTAGCCCAGTGGTAACGCGCTCGCTTGGAAAAACCGAGTGAAGTGGGTTCAGATCCCGGGTCTCGTACCTCTGATATTTTCATGTGCTAATCATTTCCAATATAATTTGAAGACAAATAAATTCGCTAACCCGCACTTGGCCAGCGTGGTGGACTATGGCCAGATCCTCCTCGTATTGAAGTTAGACACGTGCCCAGCAGTGGAACTTTAAAAAGGGTTAAATCCAACTTTTATAGGTTTAGGTATAAGCCAATATTGAAACACCATTAGTTCCTAGTCACCATAACAAGTACTATAATTATTGTCAGTAAAACTATTTCTATGAGCTGAATTTTACTAAAATTGGTTAAGCAAAAATCGAAATATTCAATAACCTAGAAGCAGTTGAAAATTAATGTCTTTTTTTATTCTCACATGTAGGAGTAAAAGAAGTTTTCTCTAAATACCGCCTTCAGAGCCGGTGGCAAGTTCCTCACTGACTTACATGCTGACATTTATTTTTTTTAAATATCAAATTGACGATTCAAAAGTGCTTGTAAAAGTCTATATTTATTTGATTTTGATAAAACACACGGTAGCTAAAAGTCTGCTCAATAAAAAAAAGAATCTTTAAATCCAATTTATAGTCAGAGAATATCAGGTAACGTATACACAAAAATACACCCTAATTGAGCACGTTGTGTTAAAAGTTAGTAAAACAAAAGGTATATATAAAAAATTTAATATCAAAATTTTAAAATATTTTGCATTTTTCCTCCTTTCACATTAAGTAGCCCAGGAAAATAAGGATTTTTCTGATATAAATAAGTCATATATTTCTTACTCTTGTTTTAGACATGAGAAATAATGAATGCCCTAATATTTGTATGTAAACTACTAAAGTCTAAATTTAACTTAAGTGATTCAAATCAATTTCTAAATATCTTATCATAATAATTATACGGCAAAAATCACTAAGCTTTTTATTAATAATTTGAAAAAAAAATATCCCATTCACAATTTACGATAACCCCATATCCCATAAATATTATAAATGCGAAAGTTTGGATAGATGAATGTTTGTTACTCAATCACTCCAGAACGACTGAAGAGATCTTGGAAAAAATTATCATAGATATAGATTATAGTCTGGAAAAGCAAATAGGTTACTTTTTATCCCGTAAAAATGTACGGTTCCAGTGGGACATCCATACTAACCGTTCGCTACTATCGTATATTAATTTGATTCTCCACCAAGATGGGACAGTAAAATGCAAGTTGCGTAAGAAATGTTCACTTAGTTTTGTAAAAAAACTGTATTTACGCCTTATTTTCCAGAGCCTTTATACGTATTATGTACATAAATTGAGAATTGATACTAATTTCACAAAATACGTCAATATTTTACACCAAACGATATTGAAAATATCACATACATAAATTAAAAAAAATGTAATATCTACAATAATTTTTAATAAATTTTTAATTTATACTACTACAACTAAGTATTTCATATCAAGAGGTATGCAATTTTATTTTAATACAATTATATTAATTTAATTGAAATTCGATGACTTACATCATATGATTAAGGTAACTTTGGATGCAAATAAAATAATCTTACTAACATGTTAAAAACACCGTCAACTAAAAAAATCCAAACCTATTTATTACATAAATTATGATTTTGGTATAAAAAATGTTATATAAAGTCTTTACTTAAAGTAATAAAAAATAAAATATTTTAAAGATTTTCTTTCTCTTTCTCTTTTTAGAACTTTAAAGTGAGATAAAATACGGCATAATTTGGAACCGAATAATTAGCGTTATTGAGAAAAGGCTAAATTGTAGTGACCTCTTTTATTTCGCTCTTTATTATTTTATTTATATTATTTTTTTTACTTGAGATATTTCAAAAATTATATTACAAAGTTTATTTAAAATTTTTTAGACAGTAACGTAGTAAACAGTTCTGAAAATAATATTATAAAATAATTATGATAATAATATTTTTTAACGATTTACACAATAATAAAGCATTTAATTTGTTTCATAAAAAAAAAGTATACATCTTTAGTCTTTAAAACACTAACAGTATATAAACTTATACAACACTTAAAAATATATTTACATGCTTAAAATATGGTAGAAAAAGCAAAATTTTACAGCAATTTCAAATAAACTACAATCTTAAGCATTACGTGTCCAATTTACTCTGACTAGTATGTCTTGATATTTGACACGAATCGTTTTGTTGCGCATTGTCGCTTAGTACAGGTCGAGCTGAAAAAAATAATAATTTTATTATAAAAACTTTTTAACAACAAATAAAAACCGACTTCCAGGCACTAAAATGTAAAAAATAACTAAACGGAGGTTTTCATTTAGAATAGATACCTAATCAGATATTTTCGAAGTCGGTGCCAGCCGATGCAAAGCAAATCTAATATATTTCGATACGTAAAATACATATTTACCTATTATACCATATTCATATCTTAAAATATTGTAGTTGTTGTTCAGTATATATATATATATATATATATATATATATATATATATATACACATACATACTGAATTATTACTAGTTATTACTAGACTACTTTTACTTCAGGAACTGCGGGTGCGGGTGGTCCGACTTTCCCAAATAAAGTACAGCTTGCAAAAAGCATGTTTAATAATATTTGAACTAATACTTTCTTAGATTTACGCGAATATTTGACATTTTAAATAAAACTATCTTTTCGGATTTTGTCGCGGATTTATTTGGATTTTTGTTTCCCGACGTTTCGAATGCTTTACAGCATCCATGGTCACGGGAGAGACTGAGGTGTTACATGTCTTGAATGTATAGTTGTTACAGACAGCCTACCCACAATTAACAAAATGAAAATTGCACCAATTACATTACAATATTTTTTAACTTTAAACATTTTTATAATTTTAATTATAATTGAATATGGAAAATTATTTATTTAATTTTGCTATTATTTTTATAATTATTACAATTTTAAAATATTAATTAGTAATCTATATTTAGTGTTGCCATTATTATATTTATAACCATAAAGAAAAATATAAAATGTAGTATTAATTATTAAAGCCATATAATTGTTCTATGTGTAATTTAAAAAAAGTTAAAATTAATTAAGGATAATAATTTTAATTTAGTTTGCTATTATTTAAAAACAACTTACTAAGCAACACTATTAATATATACTTTTACAAATGAAAAATGAAAAATATTAGTCTGATAAGCTGTCATTTTGATCCACACAGTATGAACTTACTACATCTGCCTGTCTGTTATGTTTATATTTATTATTTGATTTTATTATATTAATAACAGGATCCCATGACGATGGTAGTACCCAGCCATCTTCCCTATTGAAATTAGGATGTTTTTTAATTTCTATGGCTTCTCGAATCATTCTAGGGCGATATCGGTTTTCTTTCGCCAGGATTTGAGGTCTATCGAAGCGAATATAATGGCTTGGGCGGTCCTGACTATGTTTGCAGACAGCAGATGTTGTATTGCGACGGTGCTTCACATCAGCTATGTGTTCTTTGACCCGGGTTCTAATGGATCTCTTTGTTTGTCCGATGTAAGAGAGCCCACAATCACAATCAAGCTTGTAAACTCCTGCATCTTGTAGAGGGATGTGGCACTTGACAGGTGGTAGAAACTGACTAATTTTCTTTGGCGGCTTGAAGTAAGTTTTAATTGAAGCTCGCTTTAGAATGTAGCCAATCTTGTCAGTGACGCCTCTCATGTAAGGTAGGACTGCAGGGACGCGCTCGACTGTGGCTGGTTTCACTCGGTCCCTGTGACGTAGGCGCGGCACTTGCAGCTTGTTGTCTCGCAGAACTTGCTTGACATGTTGCAGCTCTCCGGCCAGGTGTTGCTCGTCACAGATCCCGCGTGCCCTCTGAAACAAAGATTTTCCCACGGTAGCTAACTGTGAAGGGTGGTGGTGAGATTCACCATTCAAGTACCTATCAGTATGGGTCTTCTTTCGATACACAGTATGAATACATCGATACACAGTATACCTTAAGTCATACTGTGTATCGAAAGAAGACCCATACTGATAGGTACTTGAATGGTGAATCTCACCACCACCCTTCACAGTTAGCTACCGTGGGAAAATCTTTGTTTCAGAGGGCACGCGGGATCTGTGACGAGCAACACCTGGCCGGAGAGCTGCAACATGTCAAGCAAGTTCTGCGAGACAACAAGCTGCAAGTGCCGCGCCTACGTCACAGGGACCGAGTGAAACCAGCCACAGTCGAGCGCGTCCCTGCAGTCCTACCTTACATGAGAGGCGTCACTGACAAGATTGGCTACATTCTAAAGCGAGCTTCAATTAAAACTTACTTCAAGCCGCCAAAGAAAATTAGTCAGTTTCTACCACCTGTCAAGTGCCACATCCCTCTACAAGATGCAGGAGTTTACAAGCTTGATTGTGATTGTGGGCTCTCTTACATCGGACAAACAAAGAGATCCATTAGAACCCGGGTCAAAGAACACATAGCTGATGTGAAGCACCGTCGCAATACAACATCTGCTGTCTGCAAACATAGTCAGGACCGCCCAAGCCATTATATTCGCTTCGATAGACCTCAAATCCTGGCGAAAGAAAACCGATATCGCCCTAGAATGATTCGAGAAGCCATAGAAATTAAAAAACATCCTAATTTCAATAGGGAAGATGGCTGGGTACTACCATCGTCATGGGATCCTGTTATTAATATAATAAAATCAAATAATAAATATAAACATAACAGACAGGCAGATGTAGTAAGTTCATACTGTGTGGATCAAAATGACAGCTTATCAGACTAATATTTTTCATTTTTCATTTGTAAAAGTATATATTAATAGTGTTGCTTAGTAAGTTGTTTTTAAATAATAGCAAACTAAATTAAAATTATTATCCTTAATTAATTTTAACTTTTTTAAATTACACATAGAACAATTATATGGCTTTAATAATTAATACTACATTTTATATTTTTCTTTATGGTTATAAATATAATAATGGCAACACTAAATATAGATTACTAATTAATATTTTAAAATTGTAATAATTATAAAAATAATAGCAAAATTAAATAAATAATTTTCCATATTCAATTATAATTAAAATTATAAAAATGTTTAAAGTTAAAAAATATTGTAATGTAATTGGTGCAATTTTCATTTTGTTAATTGTGGGTAGGCTGTCTGTAACAACTATACATTCAAGACATGTAACACCTCAGTCTCTCCCGTGACCATGGATGCTGTAAAGCATTCGAAACGTCGGGAAACAAAAATCCAAATAAATCCGCGACAAAATCCGAAAAGATAGTTTTATTTAAAATATTTGAACTAACTATAGTGAAAATTATTTTTGTTGTTATATATTTTGACTTGTGACGTTTTAAACTCGACGATGCCTCTACATGTGAAACCTATCAAAAACATGCTATTGAAAATTTAATATCGACGAAAACAGCCTGAATACCAAACGTTTCGATGTTAAACGATCTAGCCATGAACGAATTAACCACTGGACCAGACATATAAGCGGGCGTACCTTTACCGGTCTTGTTAGTAATAAGGAAATTTTAGCCTTAGTCGTTTGTTTTTTGTGTCAGTCTCAAGCACTTACTTGTCAACAAAACATCTCCCGAAAATTATTAAATATTCTGTCAAATGGTGTAAAAACTATAACGGCGGAAGCAGCACTATTTCTTTTCACTTGTAAATACATTATTTTATTACATTAGTTGTTATTTATCACAAAATTTAATTAAATGTAAAATAAAATGTCATATTATCCAACTATGTTAAATATAGTCGATATTTCTATGTATTGTTGACATCTGACAACCATCATAAAATGGCTGGATTATACCATTCAGAACAAATGACAAAACTGTCGAGTGAGTCTATTTGACATCGACTAGTGCTTGACAATGTCGAAAAATATATCGATATTTGACGAAATAACTAAACGAATTGTGTTATTTGTACAGTACAATAACATAAAATACTTTTACCACAGTATCCTACAATCTGATGACAATAAATTTATAAAAATATTTTCTAAATCAAATAAAAATATAAATGCAAAAATTATAATTAGTATGTGTACTTAATTTTTTATTTTATTTTATTCCACAATTATATACTTTGGAATATTATTCCATTGTAATAATAATAAAGATCATTTTATTTCAACACATAAATTACACAAAATCAAACAATAATGTTTTAGCACTAAACTTCTGGGTTGGCGATTTGTAATAAAACACTTTATCACTTGCACTAATTATTTTACTTGCACGATCCAACACTCACTTTTTCACAATTTACAATCACTTTTTCTTTTTCCTAATTTCACATATATTTATTAAGAACTGAGCAATATTAAGACAGTGTCACATTTTTATAACTACCCGAGACAATCAATTGCCAATTAAAATAGTTCAATAACAGAATCAACAAAATCACTTTATTTAATTAAATTAGCTTAATATTTTTTTAATCTTTACAAAATAATATTTATTAAATATTAATGGAATATACACCCGATATTCATTTGTTCATTAACATTATTATGATTAGTAAAAACAGAATGTTGCCATCATTGCCATCGTATTTATATAAATCAAATTAAAAAATTATTATTATTTGACACATTATTATTGCCTCTTTAATTGATTTATTTTAATTTATTATAATAAATACAGATATTTTAAATTAAAAGACGTAAAATATGATGACTATACTGACCAATGTCTAAAATGTCATTCATTGGTTCATCGATATATGTATTTTATCGATTACGTTCAAGCACTAGAAATATTGTATTGTGTATCAGTGTTTATAATAATGTAATAAAATCTTTGTGTGCGTTATGCGTCACTTGGTTTAACTAGTTTTCATACATTTGTATTTTATGTCAGGTCCAGTCTCTAATTCGTCCATGGATCTAGCCTATCAAGAGCTCAATCTAATTTGGACAACTGACCTAGTAAAAGAAAAGAGCTGAACAATATTGTGATCTAACAATAACACTTTGAATTTACACAGGAAACAAATACAGTATTGTAATATAATAAAATAAATATTAAATATATGTGTGTGTGTGAACTTATGTACGCACGTAAGAAGTTGTACTTCTTTGGCGTAACAGAACAAAAATAGCTAAAGATTTCATCCCGTATGTTACAACTCTCTGTTTGTAAAAGGAGTGTTAAATTAATAAAAATAAATATATATTTTTTATCTCCACTGATATAAAATAATTGTTATAGATTTATAAATATTTCGATACCTTAATTGGCAAACCAGCTAACTTCATACGAGCAACTTTTTCAGGAGACATTTAAAACTTATAATATTTTTTTACACTACTCATTAAAAAAATCTAACATACCGTTGGTAGATAATATCGTAAACTGTTATTTTTGATACTGTAAGATCCTACTAAAATAATCCTATTGAATTACTGTCGCATACGATCTGGACCAAAAAATATTTTTTGATCAAATATGGAATTAGCTGGTTTGCCAATTAAGGTATCGATTTTAGTAACAACTTTGAATATAGTTATGAGTTTCCACGGGAACAGGAGAGATAGTTATCAACTAACTTCATCATGTCGCTTTTTAGCTGTCGGTGTGCGCGCGAATCGTAAAAAATTTACTCTTGTATTATTTTTTAATTCTTCATTAGTGAGATCTGCAGTTAGATTTAGTACGCTACTAAGTTAAAGTGGCATTAATATGTAACATATACGTAAAATAGGTCATACTGAATTTTCGGATACTCATAGAGTTGAGCATAAGCGTTATTTTTATTCAGCCAAATCAATAAAACGTTCAGTCATTGTCAATTGTATAGGCAATCGATCACTTCAAAATCAGTACAAAAATAATTATTTTACTATATATTATTGCGCCGATATCTTCTTGAACCCCATGTAAAACAAACTTTAAGGCATAACGGACCACAATACAGTACCTAAATATTTTTCAAGTCGGTTAATCATTATGTAAAAGTAGAACTTAATGCAAAGCTTTGATATTGTAAGTATTTATTATAAGTAAAGCCATAAAGGTAGTAAGTGTGTATATTATATACATAATATCCCAAATATCTAAGTATCTCTTGAAGATATGTATTTTAAAAGTATCGTTAACGAAAGTTCATATCTTCTTATGAGATTTACATAAACACGTCCTTATATATAAACTAAGAGGATTTAGATACTCACCAAACATCCTCAGCAATATCTTCTCTATCCCATGCAACGGAGACTCGAATACTATGCACAATAGTATAGCAAGGAAGAACGTAAGTATTATATGGGATAGCGCATTTGCTGTCTGTGGACACAAAATCTTAATCAATTTCCAAACCAATAGTAAAATCTATACATATAATAAAATTGTAACTAAGCCGAATCTGTACATTAAATAAATTTTGGGGCATCTTATTGAAATAAGCATTATTATCGATACAGATGCCGAATCTATAGTTTTTAGCATTCTTGTCTGCCTGTCTGTCTGTCTGTTACCGCACCACAGCGAAATCACTGGAGAGATTTTGATGAAATTTGGTATGTTGATAGGTGGTTATTGGGGTCAACATACAGGATACTTTTTACCGCGGGAAAATATCTCATTTTTGAGAAAGAATACAAAAACTGCAATGTAAGAGTATACTAATATGTAAAACTGAAGAATTTGGTTTTTGGTCATCTGAACGCGGGCGGAGCCGCGGGAAATACTAGTACATATTAAAAACGATTGCTGCTAAGATGCTAATTAATATATTATAACAAATTTTATATTATAAGCTTACTAGACAGAACTTTCTTAGTAAAATAAATCTATGTAATGGGGTTCTCGAGCTAATTGTACAGTGTACACACTAACAGATAGAAAGCTCAAGAGACGTATTTGTAGACATTTAATGATGATGTTCGATGATGGTGATGTTCTCCTGACCGATTCCGGCCACGGCGGCCAATCTCATTGAGACTAGCTAACTGCGCAGGAGATATAATAGTGCACAAGTGTACGCGCAGACACAGGTGCACTCTCTATTCCTGTCACTCTCATACTCTGGTGGGACGACTACTCGACACGACCGGTGAGAGTTAAGGCGCAAGACCGACGGGTTTACGTGCTCTCCGAGGCACGGTGGTGAAACACCGCCAACTTCCCAACTCCGGACTGTTACTGAAGCTTACTATACAGAAAGATTCGATAACTAAATTGGCCTGACCCGGGACTCGAACCCAGGACCTCCAGCTAGGCAGCCGTACATGCTAGCTACTACACCACCGAGGCAGTTAGATATTTAATATCTCATATGTGAAAAATAAATCCTATCACTATATGTAAGATATGTGAACTTATTATTAGTATCTATGCTAAGTTACTGTAAGTTTTATTACATCTACGCTCCACCACAGTGTTGCATATTCAAAAATTCCTTCCGTTCCGCTTCCGTGATATTTTATATGTTGAAAACTCAGTTATAGTTACAAATTCTAAATAATTAAGTCCTGGTAAGTAATAATACTGATAAAAACTTAACTTAGTTAAGTCTCTTTAAGTATTTCTAAGTTCTAAATAATATTTTAATAGATCAAACAATTTTAACTTACGATAGTAAAGAACGTGATATGAAGAGGATGTCTTAGTTGTCCAACGTAATATAACTCAATGATACCATTCACCAAGTATGCGCAGAAAGTCAGTCTAGCGATGGGAACTAAAAACTTCCAATGTAAAAGCTTTCCCAAGATACCTGTAACAAAGTTTAAATGCCATCTGTTAATAACTTACCTATTCACTTACTCTTTTCTTTAAATTTAAATAAATAAATCATCTTAATTTAAAATCTGTATATATATGTAATATAGATATTATAAATGTGAAAGTTTGTGAGTATGTATGGATGTTTGTTTGTTTTTTTTATTTAAATTACTTACTTATAAGTAACTTTATTTACAAAAAAGAAAATTACAAGTATACTTAATTATATATACAATGTTGTATGATTGTTGTTACTCTTTCACGCCAGAACGGAAAAAGTGATCTGGATGAAATTTGGCACAGAGATAGATTATAGTCTGGAAATTATTCCAGACCATAATCTATCTCTGTGACAAATTTGTACTACATATAATTTGACAATGTATTAACATAGGCTACTTTTAATCCCGGAAAAATAAACGGTTTCCGAGGCGTGGATTTGTTTCTGTTCGTTAGTAATTATTAAAAAATAATCACGCTGTACTTTTAAGTATAAATATAATTGATTCTACCTTCATGAGAGTCTTTGGCTACTAACGTAGTACCTTACTTTTATGGTATAAAAGTGAAACAAAATCTTATTTACACTATTAATATTTTTAGACGATAAAACGAATTACAATTACCAGTTAAAAAAAACATCATCATATCAAAATGTCTAAGGAGTTTTTTTTTTATTTAACACAACCTTTGAGATATTTTGCAATTAGCAAACATATCGTAATATTCCCACAAAAATACAGACAAATTGAGTAATTTTTCTTATATTTTGTAGTTTATCGAATTTTTTTGAAGAGTATTTGAAATATCAATACAAAAAGCGTAAGTAAATCTTTTTTCGGTTCAAAAGTATTAGATATAACAGCCGCAGTTTATTTTGTGCCTTCATAATATATTCTAAAGCCATCCAATAAGCATAATGGCGTCATTTAACGCTATGAAATATTAGACTCGTTTCTTATGCCCGTGTTATCCCTTCTTTCCATTTCACCGGATCTAAATGCATGAAAAACAAATCATAACAATGGATTGATTATATTTTTCTTGAATATTTTTACTAATATAAATCAGGAAGAGTATTTGTTTGTGTTAATTTATTATATCACTAGCGACTCACCCTCGCTTCGCTCGGGTTTATTCCGGTACGCTTTAACGGTTAGTATGGAATAGGGAGAGAGAGAGGGAGACTTTATTATATATATATATATATATATATATATATATATATATATATATATAATATGGGATATGGGATATAAAACTCATCATATCCATGTGTATATATATATATATATATATATATATATATATATATATATGGATATGATGAGTTTTATATCCCATATCCCTTACTTGAGAAATAACTGATCCCCCATACAAATTTCCACACCCTTAAAAATCGCGCTTATACTAATATTCTTAAAAATAACAAATATAGCTAAGTACATCAACCTTTTTTTATAAAAAAATCTCAACTTACCGCCATTCCCAGTAGCACAGGCAATGATAAGCCAGCCATTGGCAATACTCCAAGCAAATTTATGTAAAGAGATATACGCGGCCGCTTCGATCGTACTGTACTGATACCATTCCTGGTAAAAGAGACTGACGGAGAAAGTAGTTACAGTGCCCAGTGTGATGCTCGTAATCCAGCCGAAGATTTTGAGAAGGTTTGAAAATTCGTAGCTAGAATCAAAAAGATGATATACATATAATATTGTTTTTACTTTAAAACTGAAGAACTTACGAGTAGTACGCGCCGAAGATAAAAAGGTTGTGAAAAATGAAATCGTGTGATGTAATATACCTACTTATAAAAGTCCTAGTAATGAATGTAAAGAAATATTTGCACTTTATCTATAACATAAGATGCTGTTAATGTCAATCTATACATATAGTAAAATTGTAACTAAGCCGAATCTGTACATTAAATATTTTTTGGAAAATCTTATTCAAATAGACATTATTATCGTTACAGAGGCCGAATCTATAGTTTTTAGAATTTTTGTCTGTCTGCCTGTCTGTTACCGCATCACAGAAAAATTACTGGAGGGATTTTGATGAAATTTGGTATGGTGATAGCTACTTATCCGTGGCAACATATAGGATACTTTTTACTGCGGGAAAATATCTCATTCCTGAGAAAAAATGCAAAAACTGCAATGCAAGAGTAAAAACCTAAGAATTTGGATTTTGATCATCTAAACGCGGGCGGAGCCGCGGGCAATGCTAATGTAAAATAATAATAATGTTAGATCACAAACTACTACTATAAAAGTAGGAAAGGTTGTATGTATGTACGTCCAAATTGTCCATCACTCTTACGAGTACATGCTCAAATGACTGGACCGATTTGGATTAAATATAACACACAGATAGAGTACGAGTTGGAATGCCATATAAGTGAGTGTTAGGCACTCGAGCGAATCGAGTATAAGTCGGTATTAAAATAAGCAATCTTATTTTAACAATAGTTTATTTATAACTTATTATACAGACTTTCTTCCCCTATTCCATTTTATGGTTATAATACGTAAGTGCTAACTTGAGCAATAACTGTATTGTCATACATATAAGTAAACACAGAATTCTCAATGTATTTACATAATATATAAACCTGGGCGACCTTTTTTTTCGGAAAAGATGTGAAAATTGCGTTTTTTTTTAGAAAAGATATCTATATAGGTTATCCAGATCTATAGAGAAACTTAAACAGCAAAATCTTATCTATACATATAATAAAATTCTAACTAAGCCGAATCTGTACATTAAATATTTTTTGGAAAATCTTATTCAAATAGACATTATTATCGATACAGAGGCCAAATCTATAGTTTTTAGAATTTTTGTCTGTCAGTCTGTTACCACATCACGGAAAAACCACAAGACGGATTTTGATGAAATTTAGTATGATGATAGCTGGTTATCCGGGTCAACATATAGGATACTTTTTACTGCGGGAAAATATTTCATTTCTGAGAAATCTATGCTAAACGTTAAAACGTAAGTAGGGACGAAGCCGAGCGAAGCGAGGGTGAGTCGCTAGTCTAAATATAAAATTTGATCCGTTCGAACCGTTAAAAGTCATAAGAGCCGTTTCCGAGATACACGAAATAAATGTATATATAAAAGAAAGGTTCATTTAATATTACTAAAAATTTTACATAAGTAGGAAATAAAATTACTTTAAAACGTGTTACTTACTTCTCCAATTGAATTCGATGTAAAATATATCCCGTAAGAATACCCATAAAATACGGAGTCATCTTCATATGAGTTCTTATATATGCTTCAACGAAATAAAAATTTGTAGCAAAGTCTGTGAATTCCCTGAAAAAAAAACATATTGTATTCATAGCTTCTAAGAAATCAAATCGACTTATAAATAAATAAATATGTTGGACAGCACCGTTCGTGCTCATCACACAAATAAATGCTCCAGCGGAACTTGAACCTGCGACCGCTGACACAACAAGTAGGGTCACTACAAATTGAGCCAAACGTGTCGTCAAACCATAAACTTATACAAAGCCTTTACAAGCAATTTCAAGAAACAATATACTATTTATCCATAAATATGAAATAGCATTTTCAACAAACATCACACATCGTTTGTGTATTAACACAAAATGCACATTATACTACAAACAACTATTTCAAAATGACTCCTTTAAAATAAACACAACTTATTTTAAGCACCGAATATTTCACTACCAACAAACACAATAGCAAACTCAAATTATTACAACATTCTTGAATCAGAAGATATATAAGAAAAACAACAAAATAATAAAACTTACTTTGCATAAAACAAAAGCGTTGGATCCAATTTATCTTTATACGTAATGACGGATGGAACGGCGAGGGATATGATAGTGGCGATAGCTGTGACTATAGGGCCAAGTCGTCTGAAGTGCCACAGACTATATATAAAGAAAGGTGCAATGAAGAATAACTGGGTGTCCACTGCTAAATACCACGATTGGAACATACACTGTGAGCAAAAAATGTTAATTAATCAGTTTTGTAATTAATTTTAGCGATAATAAAAGCAAAGGTACATAATTTGTGAATGGGAGGGAAGGAGGTCTCGTGATACACAAGCCCTCTCTCCCTCCCATTTCCATTTTCGTGTACACAAGTTCATGTAATTCACAATATGGGAATTTCTTATATTCTTTACATCTTTGACATGAGCAAGCGATAAAATATCAGTATAATATAATTTAAAAATTGCTGTATTTATAAAAAATTTCAATACGATTCTTATACGAGAAAAAAATATTTTTTTCGCTTTGACTTTCACATCATTATGGAAGTTTCTTCCCAATAATTATAATCCAGTAAAAGCTTAGATATCACCTATTCGATTACAATGTAAACCCCAAATTCTATATTATTTTTCTAATATAATAACCTTAAGAATAACCTATCTATATTATTCTTATCTATTCTAACATTATTATACAATAATATATTTACATGTTTGTAAGTTAATCACGCAAAAACTACACAACAGACTTGGATCAAACGGTCAAACACTGTTTCTATTTAATACTTAGATACTTTTATTACAAGTTGCAAATTTCAGTTGGTTTCAAGTAATTGTTATTTTGAACATACATAAATTTTTAAGTGATTAATAGATAGCGCAGCCTGCTGTTGACAGGTAGTATAATATGAAAATTCTTACCATTTTATCCACTTTGACATAGTTGTTTACATATAATATGTTGGCCCACCACGAATCCATACATCTCTCTTGCTCAAGCTGTAGTTTTCCTTCCCATAGTGGACCATCTGCGATCTTCGGTAACCAAGTCATATAAAATAATATAACTATGAAATATGCAGGTGTTACTCTGAAAGTATTTTTTTTTTATTTTAGGATTTCACACAAATAATTTAAGATCAATTTCATAACCAATCTAAAAAGTATTTAGTAAAAAATATAAAAAAAAATAGTGGCGCTCCTTATAACAAATGAAAAACGAATGAAAGAAAGGTATTGTACGTGAAACTGAAATCAGTCTCTCTGCTTGTCTTTCAAGTTAAAAATACGACTGAAACGATTTTTAACCGCCCACGCAATTCGAGGGGTGCTATAAGTGTTGACCGCTATGTCTAATGTCTGTCTGGGGCGCCATAGTTCTTATACGGATGAATAGATTTAAATGCGGTTTTTTTTGAAAGCAGGTTTTATAGTAGTGTTTCTTAGACATATTTTATCAAAATCGGTTCAGCCGTTTTTGTGTCGCGTTTGTTTTTGTAATTTTACTCAATATAGAGATAATTCGAACTTTAAAAAGCTTGGTAGTTTTTAAAAGTAAGACTAATATAAACTAAATACGTAAATACCATACAATACTTTAAAAAATTGACCTTGCTGGACCTTGTGCAAAATGTCTGCCAAATACATGCATTTTTATACAAAAACTTGATATTTGGCATTGAAGCAAAAACAAATTAATTATACCTCATAAATAAGCAACGTTGTTTTGGACCGATGAACTTTTTGTTAAAAAGAGGAATAATTCTAATAGCGTATCTAAACTACATATAGCTAAGAAAATCAACAATGTAGAATAAATTGATAAAATAATACATCTCGACATGATGAAGTGGTTCTTTAACGATACTTCTCAACCAATCGTGGAATTGTGTCACGTTTTTATCTCTATTCCATATAACTAACACAATAAAGCTACTAACGGGATGGGGGATGCAATAAACAGTATCGATACAATAAAACCAGCCGTTTGTACTGCGACCTAATTTTGCATCGTACGACATCAAAGAGAAGAAGAATAAATTAAGATGTGTTTATAACGTTGTGCTTGCAATGGCATGTGTTCACAATATAACTTGCATTGCTTAACACGCTCGATATGAAACGAAAGACCTCAATTAAAAACAAAAAGATATAACGACTTCAAAATTAATTTAATTATAATTATTATTGTACATTGATAAGCAGAAAATGGTTTTATAGATAAATAGTTTTATTCTGGAATAATCCATATAATATATTTTATATGAAAGCATGCTTAATACACTACACTACTTATTAAAAAAATAACTATGAAAATCCATTCTTAAATGACAAAAATATCGCTTGACATATATAGGTGTATTATATACAAAAGAAAACAACCGAATTGAATATCGCTTTCTTTAAGTCTTATCAAAAAATATTACAACACGTACACGCATACGCACATACACGTTACACACACGCACGCATGCGCGCACAGACACACTTATACACAAGCACGCACTCACGCACACACATGCACACACGCTCACACGCTCACACATACACACACACATACAAATACACACTTACATGTTTATAAGTCTGATTTACGCCGCCCTTATCCCAACTAAGAAGGTTTAATCGATGATATTAGTTCCAATATCCAATCACATCTCTAGGACGTGTCGATTTCTTAGTGTCACTATATGAAATAAACTCGAACCTTTAGTTATTATAAAGCTTCGTAACAAATGAGTCAATGTGTTCGTATGGCACCGACTTAAATTTAGTTACTTATTTATTTTATACTTTACTTACACTGTAGAAGCTTATTTATTAAGATTAAAATTATTTTCTTATAGCTAGCTTTTCAATTTCTTTTTGTGATTGAAGTTTTTGTTAAGAAGTTTACATTTTACTATTTTTTGTGGCTAAAATCTATTAATTAATATCAACAAAAATGTTGTGGATGCTCTTTAAGGATTTTTTTTAACCACTTTAAGGCTTGTAGGCTTTATAAATCTGTAGTAATATTATAAAGAGGCAGAGTTTGTTTGTTTGTTTATGTGTGTTTGTTTGTTTGAACGCGCTAATCTCAAGAACTACTAATCCCATTTCAAATATTTGTACTAGATAGCCCTTTTATTGAGAAAAGCCTTTATTGAGGCTATATATCATAAAAAATATATTCTATCTACTCCATACAAACCGTTAAAACTTACCTAAGGGCGGACCCGAGTATAATACTGATGTAATTAATAATTACTTAACGATAATTAATTTTATTCTAAAGTCCTTAAGATGTCGAACGGCATGAAAACAAGTATTTAATGTACACACAATCCGCCATTAAGCTGTCAATCGCACGCAATCTAATTATGTTACCGGTGCCTCACTTTACACTAACGCTAGTATCTAAATTACACCCGAAAAGCGTTGAAATAAATTTTTAATGTGGACGTTTCCCGCTTAGTAATTATTTACTTTATTATAAAAAATTTTTTGCTATGTATATATAAAAGCCATATATGTACATACTAGTACTACTACCCGCGGCTTCGCTCGCGCTAAAACTACAAAAAAATCTCTAAAATTTCCATACAAACTTTCATCCCCTTATAGGATGAATTTCGAAAAATACTAAAACACGTATTTATTTAATTTTATTGAAGAGCATTAATACCAAGTTTCAAGTTATTCTGATCATAAAGATTTTTTTTGGTTTCCGTGAGGAATCTACCACCAGCTCGAAAGGCAGTTCTGCTAAGAAGTGCGAGCGAGAAACTCAACAGTTACTCTTAAATATAATAATAATTTACAATATTACATATAATATTATATACAATAATTATGTTCTTATCCTGTGTGAGTATCAACTATTTCACACATTTGCCTCATCAAAGGCAAATTCTGCTATAGAATAATAGGTTTTGCTCAATAATATCTACATAAAACCTGTACATAAAATGCCAGCAAAACCAAATTTCAAAACATTGAAGCAAAATCCAAATACCTTACCTAATATAGCGGAAAACCAATATTGGCAGTACGTTCAGACGCCCTCTTCGTTTGTCCAGTTCAATAAGCAAGAGGCGGCTGAAGAGAAATGCACTCAGGAATAGGAAAGTATCCACTAGTAACGTATTGTTCAACATGAACGCGTTGGTCGGATCACGGATAAGCTGGAATAAAGTAAAAAAAGTATTAAAACGTCACTATTCTAACATATTATTCTGGCATGTTGCTACTCGTATATCTTACTATCTATACATTTTCTGTTAAATTATTTTTTTTTTTAAAAGATTAGAGTTTATTAAAAGCTGTTGTATTAATAGAAAGATGTTGAAAAATTTTACTAACATAAAAAAATAAAAAGATTAAGAACCTAATTAGTGTTTGTCCCTATCCCTAACCTTCTTCAGAAATTACACCAGGTGGGTGTACGAGGAGTTGCAAATGATATTTTTAAGAGCTACCTCGAAAATCGTTCACAATGCGTTGTTATCGATGGTGTTATGAGTGCTGAGGAAAATATAGATTTTGGAGTACCTCAAGGCAGTGTCCTTGGGCCAACTCTTTTTCTCATTTATGTAAATGAATTGTCCAAACTGAATTTACAAAATTGTAAAATAATATCATATGCCGATGATACAATTCTTCTTGTAAACGGGAAAAATTGGGCTGAAGTTACAATAAACGCTGAATCTGCATTATCTGCTGTCAATAAATGGTTACGCAAAAATAGTTTAACTTTAAATTTAGATAAAACGAATTTTATAACCTTTGCTCCTAGCAGTATTTCTCTTCCGTCTCCCCCCGTTAAAATTTTTATTCATAATCCAAGTTGCACTAGAAATATCGCTTGTAATTGCAGAAGTATTAATAATACCAATCAAACCAAGTATTTAGGCATATACATTGATAGCACCCTTTCATGGCACGAACACATTAAAGTTACCTGCAATAGACTTCGGAAACTAATATTTGTCTTTAAAAGACTTAGAAACATTGTTGACTTGTCAACACTTAAGAACGTGTATTATGCCCTCGTACAATCGATCTTATCATATTGCATCACTGCCTGGGGAGGCACTGATAAAAGTAAATTATTGCGTTTAGAAAGGGCTCAAAGATCTATACTCAAAACAATGAACTTTAAACCTATATATTTCCCAACTGTTGAACTATATAAAATTTTTAAAGTACTTTCTGTTAGAAAATTGTTTTTACTCCAAACCATACTACGTAAGCACTCACAAACACCTTTTGATTACCACATGATCTCTAATAAACGCAGATCAGATTTAGTTTGCAAAACAATTCGTATTACATCGGCTTTGGCTAAACAGCATTATGATTTCTTTTCCTCAAATTTATATAACAAAATAAACAAAGTTCTTAATATATATCCCCGAACCTTACATGTATGCAAAAATAAAATTACAGCTTGGTTGTTAGACTTGACATATGAGGAAACCGAGAACTTATTAAAATAGGTACATTTTATATGGCTGACACACACACACCACACACACCACACACACTCCACACACACTCACCACACACACTCATACACACACACACACACACGGACATACCGTCAATCTACTTATACTATACATCATATCATAACTATTATCTTAAATTAATTTAACTTTTAAATCTTATATTGGAACATAATGTATATTTTTTTTTTATCTGGAGGTGGGCGTTAATGACTACGACACAGTTTTAACTAATGTAGTCATTATCGAACATAATTTTGTAAATTGTAATCTTTAAAACGTGTCCAATAAAGATTTTTATTTATTTATTTATTTATTTGTACATAATATGTATGTATGTACATATTCGTTAGTGTTTTATTATATTCATTCCTTTTCAAATAAAAAAAAACACTCAGCCAAATTATTCTAAATGATAAAAAATGATTAATTATTTATGATTTAATAACAGAATAGTTAGTTACTAATTTAAATATGGCTGAGTAATAATAATCTACATTTTCGGAAATGTAAAAAAATATTTATATCTCGACCACAGTACTCCTTATCGAGACAGATTTACGGATTTTCTTTTTAACACTAAATTAACATAAAATAGGAAAAATGAGTCATTTTAAAACAAAAAAAATTACACAATAATTTATTAATATTAAAAAAAACCATCAACATCAACCATCTTCTCGAAAAAACTTTTTAACAAAAAAATAAAAACCGACTTCAAACAAAAGCACTAAAAAGTAAAAAATAACTGATTGGTAGTTTTCATTTACTATACATACCTAATCAAATATTTTCGAAGTCGGTGTGCTTTGCTTTGTATAGGCTGGCACCGATTTCGAAAATATTTGACTAGGTATGTATTTAATAGGTAGGCTTTAATTACTTAGCCAAAGCACACCGACTTCGAAAATATTTGATTAGGTATGTATAGTAAATGAAAACTACCAATCAGTTATTTTTTACTTTTTAGTGCTTTTGTTTGAAGTCGGTTTTTATTTTTTTGTTAAAAAGTTTTTATTTTTCCCTTTTTAGTGTAAACAGTAGTAGCAAAGTAAGAATTCTAACGTGTTAGGCTTGTCAAATCAAACAAAATAAGCCCAAACTCAAAGTATCTACTATTAGCCGTTGAAGAGTTCCACCTATCCACCTTCTGGCCTTGCCATCAGATCAGGTCAACAACACCGAACCACTATACTATCAACGGAAATAGAAATACTTGCAAAATTTCAAGTCAATACGACAATTAGAAGTAGGTTAAATTCATCATTAGTTGTTTTTCCACCCTTAGGGATGGTATTTTTTTTTAATTTAAATGGGACTAATCTGGAAGTATACCCTTTCAAACAAAACAAAAATTATCCAAATCGGTTAATAAATGACGGAGTTCTGAGGTAACAAACATTAAAAAAAAAAACATACAGTCGAATTGAGAACCTCCTCCTTTTTGAAGTCGGTTGATGAAAAATATATTACTATTATGTTTTTAATAATAATAATAATTGGTCAAGTCGTTTAGAAGATACATCCTAATAGACGTAACCATGATGACAATTTAATCTACAATGTTCATTCTTGTATATTTTTTTGCACTCTCGAATAATATAATACATAAATAACCTTAACATTTTATAAAATTACTCTATTCGAAAAACTTTTACATAATACAAGTAAAAGTTACTAAACTTTAATCTATATATATATAAATAAAGATTAATTCTTACCCGGTCCCAAGCATCAGCATCCATCACAGGACCGCTCCCGATAAACAAACAAGCATGGCCAGCGATAATGAAGATCATAGCCAAAGCTTTTATCCCATTCACACATTCCAACCCCAAACTGTTATTTTGCTTCGTCGAAAGTATTTTCTTTGTATTATTTATCAAAGAAAATGATATAATCAAATCATGCACAACACTGTTTTTCTTGTTTCTAGTACGAATTGAATATATTTCGTAGGCGGTCGTAGATAGGAGAATTATTCCAAAAAATAATAGTATGCCTCTGAAATTATAGAAATGAATGTTTAAATTAAGTTTATCTATACTAATATTATAAAGAGGTAAAGTTTGTGAGTTGGTAACGTTGTAGGGTTATCCAGATCAATATATAGGTTACTTTTTACCGCGGGAAAATATATCATCTCTGAGAAATCTATACTAAACGTTAAAATGAACTATGGACGAACCCGAGCGGAGCGAGATTGAGTCGCTGGTATAATTAGTATATGTAAATACGAAGATCGTATAGGGATGCACTCGAGCAAATCTAGGGTCTAAGTTAGTTTTATAATGAAAACCAGATCTATGATTTTATTATATGATTTATTGAAATATTTTATCTCTGGATCTACTGAGCCGATTTAGATGAAATTTGGTAAAAAGATAGTTTGAGACCCTGAGAAGGACATAGGATACTTTTTATCCTGGAAATCATCATTTAAGGGGGTGAAATGGGGTGAAAGTTTGAATGGGGAATCATTTAATAAGTGACAGCGTAGTTAGTTTTGTCAACTATTAATCAGACAGCTAATATAACTAGAACAGAAAGTCTCGAGTTCAAGACCCGGGTAGAGGCAAGTGTTAGTAGATTTTTCAAGAAATTAGAGTTAAATTAATAGTTCTATTTGTATACAAATGTCATGCATCAAGTTATTAAAGTATCAATATCTTCCAAATATGAAATGAATTTGAATGTAGCTACTTAGTACATAATTTAAAAATCTATAACCATGCTATAGATTTTGACGTTGAGTCCAAATCGCAATAAATACATGTTATATTTGAGTTCTTTCTATATGGCTTTGGCCGATAAGTATTTATGGCGGTCTGAGCTTGCGTCCATGTATTATTTTTACCTTTTACAAAACAACAAACAAGTTCTTAGTATATACTATATTAGCATTGTTTGTTTAATGTTAGCAGACACAGGCTAAGAAGTAACAAAAATCTAAACAAACTGAAAAATATTTACACTCTTTTATTCAATCAATGTCCAATCCATTCAAAGAATTTAATATTCACTTAATGAAACTATTTGTAGATCCATTTCATCATTAAAAGCACATTTAAAAATAAAAATCGATTAAAAAGCCAATACTTACAAGAATGCAATATCGAGTTTGTTAATCGTAATAGGTTTTCTGGTATAACAATCTCTCTCAGTGACAATAACACCTGTCGAATTTCCAACAGTATGGGAGAGTACATCACTAACAAATCCGGCGACAGCACTTGCGTCGCAGGCACTGGGTACGCAAACCGCCCAACGAAGAGCTTCACCTCGACCCGTTCTTATCTGAAAATTCCAAAAATAAATATAACCATATATAACATACATTATAAATGCATAAATTAACAACCTTCGGAGCTCGCTCGGAATTTTTAGATATCCGAATAATATTTTTATTGTTTTAAAGAGGTATTTATAATTATAATATTGGAATTTAAATTGAATAAAGTGTATGTATGTATATCTATATATGTATGTATGTATCTATGTACGTATGTATGTATGTTGATGTTTGTAGTTTATACCTACACCGCACCTCATTTTTATATTTTCTCACGCTTGAGGGTTTCTAGTAGAGATCTCTTAAAGAGATAAGTCATCCTTTGTACACATGGTATCTGTTTTAACTTGTATGTTTTTTTTCTGATACAGTAATGTACTCTAAATTAAAACTGAAAATTTATTATAAGAAATTATTGAAATGATAAATTAAAAACAGACAATGGTCAATAACAATACAATAAGTAGAATATTCGTATAAAGATTTAAAATTCCCACGCTGCGTTGAGTTTATTCTAATATCTTATGCTAATCTCAGAATTACTAATGTACGGATTTTCATACGTTTTGTTCAATCTAAAAAAAACTATATAAATTATGAATATTTTATCGAATAAAGCTGTGGATATCTTGATATTTGTGATTTAATTTGGAAAAAATGGAGCCCCGTTTGAGCGCTTCCGTAATCTATAGATACATAATATAATTAATTCTAAGCGAGTCGAATCTGTACATTAAATATTTTTTGGAAAATCTTATTGAAATAGTCACTATTATATCGATACAGAAGCAAGGTATAGTTTTTAGAATTTTTGTCTGTGTGACTATCTGTCTGTCTGACTGTGACATCAAGAGAAAACCACTGAACAGATTTTGAGGAAATTTCGTATGATGATAGCTAGTTATCCAGATCAATATATAGAATACTTTTTACTGCGGGAAAATATCTCATCTCTGAGAAATCTATACTAAACATTAGAATGAACTATGGACGAACCCGAGCGAAGCGAGATTGAGTCGCTAGTATAATTACTATGTGTAAATACGAAGATCGTATAGGGATGCACTCGAGCAAATTTAGGGTCTAAGTTAGTTTTATAATGAAAATAAGATCTATGATTTTATTATATGATTTATTGAAATATTTTGATAATATAATAATATATCACGCGGATGGCTCACACCAAATTGGCGTTAACTTCCTGTTGTAACAATCCCAATAGTGTAATAATATTGACAAACAGTATCGGGAAGTGAATGAAGGCAAATTATACCCCGTGTTCGTTATTTTGATTTGCATATACGAGTATGTCGAGATTATAATTTAGTTTACAAGCAAGTCTCATATATGTACATCAACGCATTCAACTTTTATTGACACGCTTTTATTAGCTCCACTTGTTTATAACTAACAAAGTAACAAACTAATTACATATATACTCGTACATATCTGAGAGGTTGATTCTAATATACTTCTAATTGTCGTAGTGATTTGAAAGAAAATGGCCTGAAATGACACATGGGCTACAATTAGTAATCAATTTTTTCAAAGGGTGGCGCTGTTTGCTTGCTAAAAGATAAATACATATGTATATATTATATATTATAATACTAGCGACTCACCCTTGCTTCGCTCAGGTTCGATTTCATTTTTGATTCGTTTGATCCCCATTTTCACCCCTTTTAGGGATGATTTCCGGGTTAAAAGTATCCTTTGTCTTTGCCAGGGTCGCAAACTATCTTCTTACCAAATTTTATCTAAATCGGTTCAGTTGATCCAGAGATTACCCCCTACAACGTCACAAACTCACAAACTTTACCTCTTTGCAAATGCAAAATGCATCTAAGGACCCGAGCGAAGAGAGTAAGTCAATAGTGATAATATAATATTTGGTGAAAATAATATATAACTTTAATATCCCCTAGTTTATTCTGCATATAATTTCAAAAAATGTTTTTTATAGATACGAGTATCTTACCGACAAAGACGATATTATTTATTTATGAGTGCTCAATTTATTTTTATATTTTTAAAGGAAAAACTTCTATACACAGGTTTGGATGGGGAGTATATTCATGTGAGTCGTCATCGACATGGTCAGGTGACGTGTTAACGCTAACACTCAGAGTGCCGATAGATGTCAAAACCAGATAAATGTAAACAGTTTTAATTTACAAATTATAATTTAAGACCAAACAATTAATTTGAATATCCAAAAATAACAACTATTTGTTTATAGTTTTAAGTTTTCACTTCTGTCGGCAGTCCTCATGGCAGCTTTTTTTATTTTGCAGGAGTGTGTCATGCAATATTTTGTGAAAAAGTATTTATAGGTAATAATATATGCATTTTGTACAATCTATGTTATCAATGTGATTGCTAAACGTAACATTTAAATTAGGCTAAGTGTTTTAGATTACGGCACACAAACTCAGATAGATAGACACTTTAAAAAGATCTAATTGAATACAAATGGAGGAAGAAGCTGTTTTCATTTAACTGCAAATATGAGTGAATGCCAATAAAATATATAAGAAATCTTGGGCGTTCTTCAAAGAACAGAACTAGTAATTGTACAGTGAACCTTAGCTTTCAAAAGTACATTTCTCGTTCAGAACTATAGTTTTTTCAAAGGAAATAGAGTCGGAACCTCAAGTAACACTACAAAGACTCAGCTTTGTGTCCATCTAGCTTATTATGTGGAAAACAACGCATGACCCATTTACTTAGTTCCTGTGTCGTTTATGAGCCGTTCTACAACTAATGGACGTTAAGTGACCAAGTTGAAAAGTTCTAGTGTTTCAAACTGCACTTGTGTACAGGTTAAATATGAGTACCTGTGACATTGTACTGCACTTGTTTTACGTAATCATGTTCTAAATATCATAATATTTACCTACCAGTGATAATTTTTGCTATGAGTGATATCTTTTAAGACATATATGTAGATTTAAATTCGTATCACTTTTTGCACTTTTTAACCAACTTCTTTAGACTACACAAACTTGTTAAATCAAATTGACTGACTTTTAATATAATTATTTCATCCTTAGTTTCAAAAGTAATAATTTTCCTCTCAAGGGCAGAAATTGAGAATAATCTGATAAGTAGGTACTTTAAAGTATATGTTTTTGTTACTAAAATATTATGTAATTCATTTCCAACTGTTGACAACACAAAAAACATACCTTACTTCAAAAACTGCTTTTTAGAAATCGGTCGAAATATTGATGACTCAAATCAATTTAGTGAAATAATATACTTAGAATATTATATCAAAATCGCTTCGTGTTCTTAAATTATCTTTCTTTATTATCTACATAAAGTTATATATTTTTTATAAATTATACTGGTCCTACTGAAGTCGATGGGGTTTTCCGTTCTCTCGCGCTATTGAGGTAAGTTTTATGTTTTATAAAACTAGCGACTCATCCTCGCTCCGCTAGGGTTCGTCCCTCTTTACGTTTTAATGTTTAGTATAGATATATCAGAGATGAGACATTTTCTCGCAGTAAAAAGTATCCTATATGTTGAACCGGATAACCAGCTATCATCATACCAAATTTCATCAAAATCTGTCTAGTGGTTTTTCTGTGACGCGGTAACAGACTGAGAGACAGATAGATAGACAGACAGTCAGACAAACAAAAAATCTGTAAAGATTTTCCCAAAAATATTTAATGTACCTACAGATTCGGCGTAGTTACAATTTTATTATATGTTGGTATAGATTTGGTACACAAGTATGTTATCTTCTTTGATATATAAATAAAAATAAATCACCAAAATATATATATTATGTACATTGTACACACATAACTTCCGATCGACTGCACCAAATTGGATAATTTTTTTGTGTTTATTATTGTTAGGACAAGTTTTGTATAGAAGAAAATTAATAGAATTTTTTTTTCCTAAAACTTTTTTTTTTAATTTCATGATATGAAAAGAAGAAGAAATAGTTTTTATCCCGGAAATAATCCCTTAAGGGGGTGAGAATGGGAATAACAGTTTGTATGGGGAAGCAAGCTAGGGACGAGCCCAAGCGAAGCAAGAGTGAGTCGCTAGTATTATACATAATGTTAACCTTTTCCTATGATTTCGATCCCACCTGTACATGAAATCAGCTTATACCCATTTAGACCTTTTATATGAATATTTTATTTATATGTATAAGACTACATAACAAGTGTAGCCACAATTTCATAAATTATCTACAATTTCTCATAAATAGAGCAATTAAAATTATACAAATTTGTATCCATTATATTCTTACTTTCTTCCCAAAATCATAATAATTGTTCTGTAAGCTCTTTACTGTAAAATGTACCTACATTTGATTTATCAATTCAGCAGATTTAGAGAAAATAGTCTATGCCTAAAAGATGAATAAAGAGTGTCACTAAAAAAAAGCAAATCTTAGAATTTTACCAAAGGATCATTTACACCAATATGTACAAAAATACTGATATCGCATATTAAAAATAATATAACATATACCCGCGACTCTGTTCACATGTTCAGCATGGCGTAGGATAAAAATAGTAATTCTCGATGATGTAATTTGTGATCTTATCTAATTTTATCAAAATATGCTTAGCGATTTTAGTGTAAAAAGGTAATACACAGACAAATACATAGTTACTTTCACATTATGTATAATATTAAAATATTAGAAGTATTAATTTGGCCCAAGCAATATGGGAAATTTTTTAGAATTTTAAATCTTTACTCTTTACAAGTAACCACTAACCAAAGCTAAATATTGAAATTCTTCATTTAACTTAATATACTATATAAATACGCGTGTCTGTTAATTTGTGTAATTACTATGAATAATATTATTTAAATAAATATAAATGCATACACTATCCGCTTTTGCAATTCTAAACAAATAACATTCAAAGGTAAATAAATATTTGCACTGTAACATCTACAGTTTACTGCAATTTTCTTACATTTATTATTAATTTATGTTATCCATACACATAATAAAAACGTAACT